GTCAGAAAATATTTGATGTTAAAGGGAGATTGATTTTCGTTCTCTAAATTTATGTTCGAAGAATGTGATGTAATTATTTTAGTAAGATTCCTAAACGCAAAAGTAGGGATTTGAATTTTGCTGAAAATTTCGTTTCAAAAAAGGTAAATTTATATCATTGATGGGTTTTGTCTAGAGAATTTTATGATTTTCTTTCTATTAAATACTTTTAAATGAAAGAATAAGTAAAAATATTTTTTTAATAAAATCCGATTCGAAGTAAATCTTAATTTCAATATACTTCTGTAATTATGTTTGCTTCTTCTTACTATCTTATAAAACATTTGGTCGTAAAGTGTAATAAAGTCATTTTATTGGTTTGAATGGACTAGAATGACAATAATAGTAATCATGAAAAAATATTCTCCATATTTTATTCCCAAATAAATTTCTCAGGTTAGTATTAATTTTAAAACGATTTCATTCCAAATACATTTGTAAGAAATATTCACATTTGTATTAATATCTCATTAAGTCACAACTCACTTGTCATTAATTTATTATTACTTACGTATAGTCCATTTATTGAATTCTGTCACTCATTCATTGCAATCCTTTCTTTTACATGAAAAATAACCTAGATAAATTTGAAGTCAATGTACAAAGTTTCAATAATACCTATGTATGTTCATAAATGTACTCTAAGAGTTATTCTAAAACAAACGAGATCTAAAGTGTAATGTAATTCTCGACGAGTATATAATAATATATGTATATTATAAAAGTTTACGCGTTTCCAATCCACTGACCCGTAAGGTTTTCTTTGGACTGTTTTCACTCCTATTTAGGGATACCTCGATATCAAAACAAACTGTACATATAATAACATAACAAAATGTATTAAAATCATTTATGGCTTATGATAATTATGAATAATATTTTGAATTTTAATACTTGTTTATCGGTCCACAAACCCTCTAACTAACATTATTTTGAATTTTAAAAAATATATACCCTGCATATTTCAATTACAATAAACAAAAAGCAGCATCAATTGAAAAAACGCTTTATTTTTATCAAAAATATGGTAGCCCTATTTTTAATTGGGTTGGATCAATTGTTTGCAGGACAAAAAATACGAGCGTGGGAAAAACGCGTGCTGCGTCCACTTTGTCTTGTTATGTGGTATACAAATATGTCGAACGGTTGCTTATTTAATACGGGTGATGGGATTATTTATGATTCTGTTTGAAAACGTTTGCGCTTCAATATGAAACGGAATCTCTGTACTTTTATAACACTTGGTATAAATACGTTTGTACCTATTGTGTGCTTTGTAATAGGGGTGTTAGGTTTATGAAGTATTTCAAGGCTACTAGCGTTTTTATTGCCCTGAACTCACGTTACTTTTTAACGTTCAAGTACATAGTTTTAGAAAATAATAAACATAATAACTTCATATAGTACGACGTGTTTCCGTTCAATGTTATATAAAATATATAAAATAAGCTCACATTCATACCAAAGTTCATGAAAACATTGTAACAAAATATCAGGTATTGTTGAAATAATGCCTCAACTAACATTGTTTATGGAGCCCACAAATCTGCTTAACGTTGCGGATTCTCTACGAAATATGTAATTAAACTTTGTATTGGCGTGACGTTTATTTTGTATGGAACAAGGGCTTTAACGTCAACAATGGGACCCCAAGCTTTTGTGGCAGCATTTTGAAAATTGCATTTTCATTCACTGTTCCCGGATTGGCGCTTCGGTAAATTTTACTAGTTTGAATGGGCGGTGTTAGTAGAGATTTAACATCAAGCGGACTCTTATAAAATATTGATATTGATAGTAATTTTATGTTCGTAAAATGCGAGGAGAAGTTATTTAACTCAAAACGTGATGTATACAGTAGTTTAAAACTCATTCGCATTTAACATAAAAGTTTCGTACAATTGAATGAACTGTTCCGAACTGAAACTGTGTGTTCAGCCTTTTAACTTTTTGTTACTTTCTGGTCCACTGTAATGTATTAAGTTATTGCTATTAGCAAACTTGCTTTACTCAGTTTGGCAGTTACAATATAGGTGGACCGCATGAACCGGTATTCAACTATAAACTCTAAAGTTTAAACGTAACGGTCTTTTATTGTATACAAGTTTGTCGCTAGGTCGCCGCCTCTGTTTATTGAATGTACAACCTTAAGACTGCCATCCTAAGGTTGTTTATTGTTTATACACGTATTAGTCTAAGAGTCAACTGCACAAATTGCTACCAACCTCCGTTTCCGCCGCCATGCACTTCCTTCGTTTGAGTTTCCGATAGATATATCTGTCTCGTTCACACATATTGCGTCTCTAAATATAGGAAATAGCATGTTCATAACATAATTTAGAATTTATGGACAAAATAAATGTAATATATTACGTTTCAACTTCTTATAACATAGCAATATATTAGACATATATAGCTACAACATGGTCTCAAGATGAAAGATGATACAATAATTAACAATTTTGTCATAAAAACAATAATAAAGTTATAAAAATTCTTTAATGTTTTATTGATATTAGATAAAATAGAACAATTGAACAAGCTTTAAATAAAAATTAAATAAATAAAAACGGTACGGAAACTATTCCTCTGGTATAAGACCTAAATTGTTTTTCATAAAAATAGTTTAATCAAAATTCAGGTCTCAAGGTTTTTGATATCAATTTTACGAAAAACTTTTTAATTAGAGATATTATTCAAATATTCATTCCTGTTAATTAAAAAAATAAAAATCACAATTATTATTTTTCGCTACAGTGCAAAGAAAACTCTAAAATTGATGGTTTTTAAAATAAACCAGACTTCCAAAAGTATCGACTCCACGTGCAAAAATTATTGAAAATTCTTATTATACTACTATACATTAGCTATTCTTAAAAGTAATATGTACAGTTAAATTAAAAATTAAATTGAACTACGAAAAACATACCTTGTTTCGTAAATTGAATAAAAATAAAATGTCCAATAGTGGAGTGTATTAAAACATATAATATATAAATGTTTTAGGTTAAAGCAGATGTCGTATCATATTTTCTAAACATCCTGAGTCCGGTCTTATTAAACCCCAATCTCGTCCGGAATCAAGGGTTAATACAAAGTAGGGGATATGAAAATGACTTTTTCGTTTTTCCCATATATTTTCCATATAAGAAGATGACGTGGACCAAATCGACGGCATGTGGCATCTAACTCCTAGACTCAGAATTGTTTTCTTGTACGAATATAATAATGGAATGACTCGCAATATTTTCTAAGTCATGAATGAGATATGTGGGCGAAGTAAAATCTCATTGCGACTAGTGCTTCCCTTTACATTGTCGACGTTATTGTATCGATAATAAAGCACGAGTCTGAGATTTATATAATTATGTTCCTTTGTTGCTTTACGTGTCATAAGACGATATAAGTTTCATATGAAGGTAATGATAAACCAGGTAAGAGACATAAAGTATGACAATGTTAGGGCATTACTGGTTCTATTCATAAAAATGTTGTTTTTAATATATCTTATCCAAATCATTTACGATAAGGAATAATTTTATAGATTTTTATTTAAAAATATATATGTTTCTAAAAAAAAACAATAAAGTCATAATGTGTAGTGCTAGATTGTTCTTTTATGACCAATCATCCATTGAAGTTGTATTAATGAAATTCCCGAGATATATTTCTCAATACAGCAATAAATCGTGCGATTGATATTAACGATTCAATTAAAAACCATAAAGATACGGAAACAACTAAAAAACCCATAACATCCTAACATGAGATACCCATAAATAACAAGGGGACGAATATTTGAAATATCGTCTGGGTTCACATATCGGCAATGTACTCGATGCTCGCTAGGACGGCACTCCAAGATTGGTTAGAGCGTTGCTAGAGTGATACATTACATGGGATAAAAATATTTCTTCACATAAGGAACCTGTTGCTCTAAGATATGGAATAGGCCATATTTTTCACATCCAAGTAAACTGTCTCGCTCCAATACACTTATGCTCTTCCAAGCGTGAAAGGGATGTAAGAAATGTGTTTTTAATTTGTACGTCAACAGTTGCTAGCCGATATCATTAAGATAAACTATTTAGAAAATTGTATTTCGAAACATAAACATATTTTAGATATATGAAGCGACGTATGATGTAACATACTGATTCAAGTATCATTTGCAGTATGACTAATATTGAAACGAATTTAATAGCTTATTGCGTGATAGATTTTTATCTAACCATACAATTTAAATAAAATATATGATAAAATTATATTTTATTACTTCCATATATTCCAAATATTCAAACACTTCCCCATAATTCAATCACCAAACCTATTTTAAGGTCCATCCAAATGGCTTCTCGATTATGGCTGATTAATGAGTCAGGAAAAAAATAATAGAAATCCCACATCTACCATCATCACAAATTTTCTTATAATTATTACAATGTCGTTTTCAACTAAATTAGTTTGAAGACAAACCCTTACGGTTAAAACGTTATATCTTGAAGAGAAGCTGAGAAAGTTTCTGGAATCGGTGATTACGAAAAAATTAAAATAAGTTATGGCTCTTAATTAACTTAGCTGGAAAAGTTAGTAATACAATGATACAACTTTCAGTTCGCATTAATTGTTTCGCTCGGACTAAAATATTACACCTTATAATTAATTTAAGTCTTGAATTATGTAAATAAAAGTAAAAAATAGATATTAAAAAAAAAAGTTTCAAGAGAATTAACTTTGAGAATTCAGACTGAATGATGATATCATTAATTGTTTTCATTTAACAAAAAAATAATAATTAGGACAGTGTCTAATGAGAAAGAACATTTTAATATAGTTTTAAATGATATCGTATATTTAAGTATTACTAATAATATAAATACAGCGTATTATAAATTCTATAAACATATATATGGATAGTTTTGTGTAAACTTATATTAGTGAACGGTTATGACGTCTCTGCTCACCATCTTACATCCGAAACTCAATAAATCGCTTGGCTGAGTCTGCAAAATTGATTCCGGATCGGACGCCTCTCGATTCAGATAGACGTATTGTGTGAAGTCACACATGTTGATAATGGTAACGTTTTTTTCCCTTGGACGAGTTATAATTGTAAAGAAATATACGTTACCAATATATATTCACAGTTAAATGTGTCTGATAGAATAGTATAATAATTTAGTCATTATATAAAAATATATTGACTTTTATAAACACTTATTAAAATGAAACTATAATACTTATGAATTCAAATCACAGTTACAGTTTTTATAACGAGGTGTTTTGAATAAATTATTTGAATAATTCTGGTATATTTCCATTCATAGACACAGATTATTAAGGTCTATCATACGTATACATAAATATTATAATAAATGTTGATATTTGAATTATTTTTCTTCTTATATTCAAGAAGCCGCAGTATTAAGAACTGCCAGAATTTTGCATAGCTCTATAATGCAAATTTTGTGTTGAATTTCTTAAACAGTCTTGGCATAAACAAAATCTGCATCTTTCTTGAACTGCTTGATATTTTAGTGTATATTATTATTAAAATTTGTGATTAAGGTATATTATACATATGCATATTCCCATTTTAAATATCTTTGTAATATCTTATATATAAAATTATCTTATCCAGTGTAAGACAGAGAATTCCTCCGAAACAGCTTGACCGATTTTGATGAAATTTTGTGACCGTATTGAGTAGGTCTGACAATCGGCCAACGTCTATTTTTATACTCCTAAGGTCTAAGGGTTGTTCACCCTTAAGTTTTTTTATTATCACCAACTCCTATTTTTTTATATGGCAAAACATCGTTTTGTCAGGTCAGCTAGTTTTCAATATAAAACTATTAAATAATGCATTATCTCTGTATTTTATGAATCTGACATATCTATCTGTGATGGCAATATTAAGAGAATAGCCGTATTAAAATCAGATACAAGATGTTTCGTATATTCGTAGCCGAAATCCTGCGAAAATTACCGTGTCACAGTCGAGTGCATGGTAAACTATAGAGCGTATAGCGTGTCTGGATGCGAAGATGCAATTGTTACGCCCGGCGACCCCACTAACCGGGTTCGGCTTCATTACAGGGTGCCGTGTTGTGTTCACGGATCGATCATGGATCTCATGTTATAACACCAACTATATTCCTACAAGAGACATGACATTTCATGACATACAAATTATATCAAAATAACTGACGTCATAACGGCTGACATCAAAAATGTTAATTCAATGTTTAAATTTATTGATTTATACACGTGTATGTGCATAGTAATTTAAGTGATGGAATGATTTTCTAAAGTGTTTTACGTCCAAAAACCTTCACCATTTACCATAGTAGGAACTAACTAATCTCCTCATACGACGTCGGCAACATTCAGAGACCAAGGAACAGAATTAAGTCCGCCGCAGCTGCTACATTGTATAGCACCGGTAAAGCGGCTACGTCCAGTCTAAACTGGTTAAAAGCGGTTCAGTCCGGAAATGTTCTTTACTGCCTGTTAATGTAATATGTTTACTATAAGCCAGATAAAGCTCTTTTAATATTATGAACACGAATTGAAACAAAGGATAATGCATTCAAATCAAAGATAATATAGAATGTACGTGAGAAGACACACTTGTAAATTATATTAGGAGCTTAAGTTTCAAACCAACTTTAATAATAATTTCATAATTAACGCTGTATTGAAGCCATTCATTTTACTTGTATCTTCCATTAATTAAGATGTAGCAGTAGGCTCATTCTGCGCGGTATTCATTACTATGTTATGATACATTATGTATTCAGAGCGTCCTCGCTAGTTTTAATGTTTTGCTTTATAATTAAACTCCATATATTGATAATAACATTGATTAGGGTTATCAAAATTATCGTAACTCACGTTATCGTAATCACAAACCTGTAATTTATTGCAAAAAAAAGTATTTAAGTTTAAAAATATAAAGTGTAATGTACAAAAGAACAAAAACACTTTTCAATCTGGGAACGAAATGAAAAATGAACCGTATAATTTGAGCGTTAATAAACCGAGTGTGCTTTTACGTGACATGGCATCGAAAGATTTAATTGTTTGCAACAGTACGTGACGCGGTGAAGGCTCGCTTCATTCGGACGTAAACCCCCGATATTGAGTGGGTGTTTCAATGGTAGATCTCGCCATTGTTCGGGACATAAGCTATTTGTGATCTACTTTCTTTGAATAGAGTCTTTTGATATGTTTATTTAATGTTCAACTGTATCGTGTTACCGTTTATATGAAACATTTTACAATAACAATATTATCTATCGAATATAAACCGTATAATATTCCTGTTTTTTTTAATCTCACTGTGAAGAGATTAAGTTTCGCTTATCAAATGCGAAGCAGAGCAACCACACGACTGCTAGTTCTGGGATATTGCTCAAAGTTGGCAAGAGAAGCCTAAAAATATATGAGTATTAAAACTTTGCATCTCTCATTGGTTTATTTACGAAATTAGAATTTATGTGCTGTTGTTGAGATTATTTTAATATATCTTTGGTATGCTCGCATTTAAATCAGAAGTTTTATAACTAAACTTATATCATTTTCATATATGTACGTATGAAAAATATTAAGTTTTTTTTTTGTTGCGAACAAAACTGGATATACTTTCATAAAAGCTTGCAGTAGTATGAATTTTAAATTAAAATAGAGAGAGTATTAAAAATTATGTATATTATTCCATAAAATTATATTTCAATTGAACGTTTTTGGTTTCTGATGAGATATATTTCAGGTAAAAGATGTATTGTTATAAAAATTTTCACATAATTGAATCAAATATTTTATAAGTAAATGATATTAAAGATTGGTGATGCTTTCTGGAATATATTAATTACTTATTATATTATCATAAACAAAACAAAAAATCACATAAACTGATGTTCTTAACTTGATAAACATTTATTCGTCTAATATATGAACATTGAAATAATTTCCAGTTGTGGATCGTAAAATGTAAACAAAATAAAAATTGTTTAATATCAATCAGTACTTATGAACAATAAATTGAAAGGTTTCTTCCGATACGTACAATTCTAAAGGAGTTATTGCCTCGTAATTGTAAGTATTCAAAGTGAACGTCAAGTTTGTCGGAAGGTGGCGTGATTGCTTCATAAAAGAACCCTGGAGGAGCAGCGAAACCTTTATGGCTGTTTAAATGGCTAACAGTTATTGGTCTTCTTGTTTTGCGGTTTATTAAATTCGGTATACGTTTAAGTATATTTCGCTAATAGCTTTGAAATTATTATTTTTGCTCGCGATACTATATAAAGCCGTGATATAAATCTATATTTTTTGTTTAAAGTCGATCTCATCTCTATATAACGGTGCAGTAATTCTGTTCAAATACTCCAGTCAGAATAAACAAAAATAAGATAAGAAACGAAAATTCCATGAATAAAAGCGCTGATGGATTGATACTGAAAATGTTGTTTTGGAACGCGTTCCGTATGTTTTTGCCTTTAGTCTCTTAATTGTCACGTCAAGCTCGAGACGTGGCATAAAATATTTTACGTCTTCAAAAATATAACAGAAGCCGAGTCCCGGATAAGCGGAAATAAAAACGTCGTCTCCGTAAAGCCCGGATGTTTGCTAATAAAGAAAAGGAATCTACAGGGTACAGTGATATTAGAGTTTTATTATTACGACGCTAATGTCGCACGCTAATAGGAGACATTTTTTAGGACGTATGTATCCCCGTTTATTGTTGCCTTTCATTTCATATATTAAATGTTAAAGCTGCGTTCTTTGGATATATACTTTTATTACCAGTCATATACATTACGAGGGAAACGTTAATGGTCATAATAGACACTAATACTACTGTTATTTATATAAAAACAAACCCTATGCAACAAAACTCAAAGATATCTCCGAGGAGCATAAACCGATGTAACATAACACGTACAAAATGATTTATATCTTGCATATAAAGTCAAACTAATGGAGAGATTAGAATACCCGAAATAGCGTCTAAAAGCGAGACTGACTACACGTAAGTCGTAAACTTAACGAATCAAATTCTACTAAGAACTCTGTGTTTCGACACTTGAACTTTACACTGCAGTAAATACAAAACCGCTCGGGGGTGCAAGCTATTTTAAACTCTATGTCATTATGATAGGGTGTTGTTAGTTATATTAGGTTGTAATAAGTTTTGTAATTGTAAGTGGCACAGGTGGTCTGATGCCTATCAAGCAGATAATAAAGCGATTGCAAAACTTTGAATACACTTTACAATGATAACGCTCGAAAATTCAGATGACGTCACACGCCTCGTTGAGTTAATTTAAATATAGTAAATCCATACATATATATATATATATATAAAAGGAAGTTTTGTTATTTACACTATATATAACTCAAGAATGGCGGTACGGATTTGGCTGGAAATTTGTAGGGAGGTAGGTAAGAATCAGGAGACGGACATATGATAGTTTTGAATTGGTTAGACAAAAGAAATTGGTAATAAAATCCAAAACCTTTTTTTTTGCTGTCTGTAAATCGAAACAGATCGCCAGGTTAGCTAAACATTTCTAATTATCGATTTAAATGGACAAAATCGCTGGCAAAAGCTAGTCATTTATAAAATTGTAATAGAATTATATAAAACAGCTGAAGTTAAGTAGAAATCTAAACTTGAGAGCATCAGGCCGGCTTCATGAAATAAAAAATTATCTTACATTAATACAAAAAGAAATTAAAAAAGGGCTAGTGATAAAATCGGAAATCTTATTGGTTTTAATATTGTAACTTTATTCTGAATTTTTATAATGAATTTTATAATACTTTAATCAACAATGCACGTATACATCCAGTAATAATAATTCTCAGCGTGGACTATAAGTACAGATAACCTAAAATATGATCCTGGATAACTGATTTTTTCCGACCGAAGCCGTTCATCTCGGAACAAATACAATCAAGCCGGGGCGATGTTTTTCCTTTTATATTTGAAAAATTGCGAGATAATTCCTTATTTATTCCACGTTTTATTAAACTTGACAGCGATTACTGCTTAAATGCATTT